GTATTTGCAGAGAAAGCAGAGAATAAGGGGTACTGTGTAGCACAATTGGGTATGTTTGTACGTGGTTAACAACTGCTCAATGACGGATGGCAGGGTATGCCGCACACCCTCTTCTTCCTCTTTTGGACCCATGTTTTTCCCATGTACTTGGACAAAGGGACATTTTGCATGAATTTTAAAATTTACAATCTGTAAATTCTTCCCCATATTCTTGCATATGTAAACATATAGATGCAAATTTCTTAGGCAAAGAAAATGCAAAAAGAGGAACAATATCAGTCTGTATTTGCACATTGGCAAGGGGAGGCTATCTTGTCACCTTTCACCTGACATGGAAAATTACAGCTGATAGCTATGGTAAAAAGGGAAATTATGAACTGGCTACACTAGGTGAAAGGAGCGGGGCTGGTATTCACGGAGATAGGAATGGCTGATACTATATCAGTGTTTGCTTTCAGTCTGGAGACGGTCTGTCATTTAGATACAAGGCAGAAAAACGTAAATATATATTTAAAGGCACAGTAAGAAAACTTAATGTCCTTGGATAACATCCCTAAAATGGGAAAGAATGTGTGATAATGGTTTAAATTTAAAATAAATTTGGAGGGTTTTATTATACCCAATATGTATTAATTATAAGCTAAGTATATGGCCAAAAAAGCTAAGGTCCTTTCAGATTTTTAATATTCTCCATAAAGGCCTTATATACTTTTTTGGTGTGTGTGATTTATTTCTGGATAGAGGATATTTGTTCAGGTTATTGTGATTTTATCCTTTAAAAAAAGTATTTCATTTTAATTGTTGATCGTATAAAGAAATAGAAAATATTTTTTGTGTATTTATTTTGTATCTAGAAACTTTGCTAATGGTCTAATTCTACCATGTTATTAAAACATACATTCAGATTGTCTACATAATCTCAGTCATAATCTGTGAATAATGACAGTTTTGTGCTTTATAACTTTTTTCTTTGTCTCACTTTTTTTTTTCTTTTCCCTTACTTCGATGGTCAAAACCTCCAAAAAGTAGAATGATAAGATGGTTATCACTGGCTTGATCCCAAACTCAAGGGGAGAGATTTCAATGTATCATTGATAGGTATAATATTTTTTGTAGGTTTTTTCTGATAAATTTTCATCAGGAAGAGGAGTAGTTCATTCTATTCCCAGTTTTTTAGAAATATTTATTATAAGGAGAAGTAGAATTTCTCCTTTAATCTGTTAATATGTTGAATTGTATTTATTGGTTTTCGAATGCTTTGTTATTGGGATCTCACTGACTCTTGAAGCCATGGCAGTTTGCTTTCTCTTGGGTTGAACTGCTCTTGCTCAGTTACCTAAGGACCTCCTTGGTACTCAATCCAGTTAGTACATGACCTGTCATTAACATCATCAAGCCTTGATTACTCTCCTTCTATCACTCCTTGCTCTTAATTGCATCTTGGTTTCCCTGTTCCATCTGTTGAGTCTTAGTCTTTCCTTTGGTTTCTTCACCCTCTGGGGTTCCGTTGCAGCTCATCACCTGTCACAGAGTCAAGAATGATCTGATAACCCCCAATCTCTGCACATTGTCCAAATTCCTATCCTGAGCTACAGTCACAGATACCATGTGCCTACTCCAGCTGTCCA